TACCCACTTAAAAGAATCACTGTATATTATATCAAACAATTTCTCAGGTCGGTTGGACTCTGCCAGCGTCTCCGTCACCGGTGCATCATCATCACCACCACCATCACGGCCCGGTGCATCACCATCAAGGCCTGTTGAGTCCGCTGGTGTCCATGGGCACCGGTGGTTACCCGTCGGCAGCCACCTATTCGTTCACGGCCGACTTCCGGCCACAGGACCCGATAGCGTCGCAACTACCACCGCCGCCGTTTGCGTGCAACATACAACCGGCTGTGCCAGCGCAGACATTGTGCTCGTCTGCGGCAATGATCGACGACGATTGCAAGGACCTCAAACCTTGCGCAGAGATCTTAATGTCGGTGAGCGGCTGCGGWATGGGCAGCGCCGAGTGTTCGCCAGTCGGGTCGGCGACCATCGGCGACGACGACGGCTGCCGGCCAAACATGTGCCGGATATGCGGAAAGACGTACGCCCGTCCCAGCACGCTCAAGACCCACCTGCGCACGCACTCGGGTGAAAAACCGTACCGGTGCGACGACTGCAACAAGTCGTTCAGCCAGGCGGCCAACCTGACGGCACACGTACGCACCCACTCTGGCGAAAAGCCGTTCCGGTGTCAGATATGCGACCGGCGGTTCTCGCAGTCGTCGTCCGTCACGACCCACATGCGCACCCACTCGGGCGAGCGGCCGTACCGGTGCCGGCTGTGCAAGAAAGCGTTCAGCGACTCGTCCACGCTCACCAAACACCTGCGGATACACTCGGGCGAGAAGCCGTACCAGTGCAAACTATGCCTACTCCGGTTCTCCCAGTCTGGGAACTTGAACAGACACATGCGCGTCCACAGCGGTATGAACGGCGCTGACATCTTGTTGCCTGTATGACGGTGGCGGACAGTCAGCACCACCGCCGCCACCACCAACAACTCAACCAGCCACCTAAGTCATCACCTCCATCACCATCGCTACGTCGACTGTTGTTGGTAAGGAAACCACCCCATCCCYTCCCTCCTTCACAGAAACAAATTATAAATTTGGTCGCATGACTGCTAAATYACCCAGCCAGCGACTTCGAACGGTACACGCAGATCAGTACGGGCCACCGACTACTCTACATCACACGTGTGGTCGGTTCTTCAACCCGCGTCTTTCGCCTAAGCCGACCTGCACGGACATCCGTACGGTTTATGTTTTCGGTATACATAATATATTATCATCACGCACACGTCATGTCATCGTCATCATAATTTACTTGCACGGAGTCAACATTTTTAAACGCCTCTATTTTATGCATCGATAAAATGTTTTCGGTCCGAACAACCTGTAAGTATTTTTATTTGATTTTCGATAACTTCAGTCGTACCACGACGGCGGCGATGGGTAGATAAACCGTACACAGTTTTCGTCCCCCTCCCTCCCACCGAGAGATGAAACTCAAGTTATTTGATACWCACAATTCGTACTCTGATTAGTTCGGTTTATTTTTAAGAGGTTTTTGTTTTTCTCCGATGACCGATGCGGTCGACACGCCCCGCGCAATAACAGTGTCGGACAGTCTTCAAATTTTTATTTTTCGTAGCTTCCGTTCTTCGTAAGCGACTCCTCTTCAAATTTATTTTTAGCACAATATTAATATAAATAATATATAGACGACATGAACCACTCCGCACCCACATCGAAAACGACACGACAATGAAGATAGTCGTGCTTACACTTAACAGAGCAAAATATATGCATAATATGTAGAAATATAGAATATATATATAGTGAATGGAAACGTCTCACTTCTTAATTTATAGAATTTACATAATATATAATYTAAGCACGTCCACGACAAGCACTTGTACCATTCCTGATTTTGAGAAATTAATTTCTGGCTATAATCTGAACCACTTGGTCTGTTTGATGTACCTACTTATTTAAATTTATTCGATTTTAAGTTCAGTATAATTTAACCGCATATACCCAAACACGAAATCCAGAATCGGATCAAAATGTTGATATCAGCCTTCTGTTAATATATTTATATAAATTATTTAGTTGTGCCAAACTAAATTAATTGTTTAGTTATCTGGAATACTTACAATATGTTATTTTACTATCGAAGATGATACATTAAAACTACAACATAATTTATTTAATGAGTATAACGTATGTTCAGCAATCATCCTATGTGGAACAATACGAAATAATAAATTATTAACGATTTTTGAAACTGAAATCCCACAACAAATAATATTAATCTCAATAAACATTTTTTTAAATTTAATAATATGTGATAAATTTTAAGACTTCGTAAGATAATTATCACTTGATGTTAAAATWKTKTTTTTTTTCTTAATAAATAGGTACTTCATTATATAATATAGAATGTACATTGTTGTTCTCAATCCTCGTTCATATTTTAGTGTTTTGTTTAGATTAGTTAAGTTTTTTTTTCGTCGTATATGCCTATATAATATTGATAACGACGCAAATATTTTAATGTTCATAATAATTAAGTATTAACCAAATTTTAGTTGTCTATATTTAATTTTATAACAATTCTTTTTTCTTATCAGTTATATAGTGTGTAAAATCGATTTTACACATTTGTGTGTGTTATTTATRTCATTACAATTAATTATTTTTAAATATTCATCTTTACTCTCAATCTAGTCAATGTATTTTATGTGTTAACAAATAACTTTTAGAATTATTATACAATCATTGTAAATACGTCTGAAAAAATATTAAACATGCGAATGAAACGCATAATAATAATACATAAATATAATATAATAACATTTAATTGTGTTTTCATTTATTGTTATATACTGTATTGTCCTAAAATTAACAAAACACCATCTACTTTTAATCAGTATGAATTCAATGATTTATCATTGATACTAAACAACATTTTTTTGTTGAGTGGAAACTGTTCCAGCCTTTATTTATCAGGATATTTAATAATATTTATTAACAGCAGACACTATTAGTGATAATTATTTGATTAGGTAACTAATTTTTGTASAAAACATTTCCCATATTATTATTTAATAGTTAATATAATATTATTGTATACTATACTACTATAGTAATTGATATACCTAAGTAATGACATACCTTAGAACAATATAGAGAATGGAATTCAAAGGATAAGAATTTTTATAAAACAGGCCAATATTTTGAAAGATATATGATAATATTAAGACTTTATATTAATGAGATTTTATGCTCTATTTTGATTTTGATTTTAATATGAAAATCATTTTTAATTTTTTTTAATCATTGCAAAAAAAAAAAAACAACACAAATGTATTACTTCTCAAAATAACTCAAATTCATTTGAAAATTATTGAGATTATTGTGATTTATTAATAATTCGCAAACAGTTTTATAATGTTACAGCAGGGGCTCTTTTCAGGTACACAGCACATTATTATACAACATAAGTTTTCGAGGCACGCTCAACACAAATGTAATAAAATAATTTTTACCAGCATAATATWACAAATATCAGAAACTTGATGACACACAACTGTTACAGGAATGATGGGGTATATTAACACTTTGTTGTCGCTGGACAACCCTATTTCGCTAAATCCTTTAATAATATTCAGAAAACAATTAATTGTTCACGTTTGTAAGTACCAACATACCAGTATTGCAACAAAAAACCTATGCACAAACATATACCAAATTACAAAATCCCTATGTGATGGGAGAATTTTAAATAGGTGTAACTTTAGGTTTAACATGTACCAACAGTCCTAAATCTCAATTGGTTTTCACCCCTATAACTTAACTCAACCAAGTTGAATATATTTTGTGTTAATATGCACTAAAATATTGTCAACAGCATAGAGATTATCAAATATTTTTAACAGTTACATATATCAATGAAATAGCTAAAAACTATATATAAAAATATTATAGTTAGTATAATGCACACTATGCAAAATGCATAAGATGACAATAACAGTACTGTCATGTGACTAAAAACTATTTGACTAACATTTTAGGTAAACAAATAATCTATCTATACCTTTGCAATACGATAAAAACAGATTTCATGGATATCGTTATATGAGCTGGTTTTCCCAAWTAACTTTTCAGCCTTTGTGGTACTGGTTATAACCAATTAATTGTAAATCAACAATTTCACAAAATCTTATCTACAAAGGCTAAATGCAAACAAGTTGAGTCTTGGAAGGTAGGTTAGAGTTGTGACACATGTTGTAATACATTTAAACATTATCTCAGGGTATAATGAAGAAATATATATGCATATAATACAAAAAAAGTAATATTATTGTTCCATGCAACACTAATATATTGTAATTTCTCAAATAAAATATTAAATGTTACATTTATTTTTCATTTTTACAATTTCTAAAAAGAATAGTTAAAATTGTATTCAATAAATTTGTTTTGCTTTTTAAATATTATATTTACAAATTTGAGTTTTAAAAAAATTTGGCTCAGCTGAAATGTTGCTTGACCGATTTTTACTTAACAGAAATACATAAATGTATAGTAATAATTAAATTATTCATAATTGTTTTTTTTAATCATATTAAGAATTACATCACCTTTTGTTTCACTTAAAACTAAAACAAAAATTTTATTGTTACAAAATATGTCATTGTTGTGACATTACACTTGTCAAAAAGCACAAATATTTATTGTTTTATCTTATATAAAAGATATAATTTAGTCATGTTTTCAAACATTTATGCTTTATTTTTTACAACTGGGACTTAAATTAGGTCTAATTACAACACAAAGTCTAAAAAATAATAATAATAATAATAATAATAATCTTACTAYAATTGTTTGCTTAAATGAAACCTATATGATTTAAAAGGGTTTAAGAAATAGTCATTTAATCAAAATTATATACAATATCCAACTTTATTTCTGAATTGTATGATATTTTAATTTTTCTATGTACTTTCATGTATATTACAAAATTCTGATTTGTGGTCGATTAAAAAAAAAAGTACAAAATAAAAATAATAAAAGTTGTGATCTATATAAAATGTTATATATATTTTATTGTGTTTAATGTGTCGATTATTGCACCTCAATTAATGTAATATGCATACAATGACGTATTAAACCATCGAKTCTGTGTTTAACATGGATAAAATATGACATAACTAACTGTTTCAAGTTGAAAAATATTTATTTTTTCCCTAACCCTGCCCAAATGCACGAACACCTTTAATGTACAATAAGGCGACAATATCTCCGGTTTAATAATAAAACAGTTAAACACACTTAACAGTTAAAAATTCTATACGTAATAAACACTACTAAATTAATGTGATGTTGCTATTTACAATAATTATTTWAAAAAAATGTTTTAAAAATTGAAAACTAAAATAAAAACATGTATATGTTATTTTATATCCTGTAGAAGCCCAAATGCCACTATTTTGTCTCCCATTCATTAAACATTACTCTACTGCATGGTGAAATAACATTTTAAACATTGAAAACATTAAAAATAAAATATTGTTATGAAAACCTATTTACAATCATTTTTACAAGAATTATAGAAAATTAAAACTTGTAATAATACAATTTTTTATAAATAACAAATTTGTTTTGAATGAGATATCATTGCACTTTTTAAACCAATTTATATGTTAGAAAAAGAAAAAAAGAAACCGYGTGGAAAGTAAAATTCTGATTTTATTTTTAACTAATTATTGTCTGATGAGTATTTTAAGACTCAAGGCGCCCTGTCATTTTCTGCTAAAATATACCTATAATATATTGTTTTAGTAAAGTTTACAATGTTATTTTTATGTAAACAACATAAGAAAGGCCTATTAGCAAAAGTTTGTTTCTATTTTAATTTTGTAAAGTATAAAAGAGTATAGGGAAATACAAGTGCCTTTCAAACAACAGACCTATATGTCAGGGACGGACTACTCTGGCTCACATTATTTGTACTGTCACGGTCGTTTTGTCCAGAAGTGTATGGAAGCTGGGTGTTAACAAACTACAAAAAATAAAAATAAAAAATAAAAAGAATCAGTAAAAAAAAATTTAAAACACAAAATTCCCGAAAGCGTGTCAACAATAAAGTAAAGCGGTCATGGAAATTGTGTTGCTAAAGGCGTAGCAACATWTAAAAACACGTTATATTTAAATTAAACAAACAAATAAATCAACCCCCAGGACGCCTTGAGAAATTATCCATGTGAATGAAAATATTGTGCAATATATTGTATAATGGTGAGGCCACCTGCGCCCTTCCATATAATGCAGACCAATAAAAATAAGCTATAGACACAATTTTCTCTATCMATCATTGTTTTTAAGTCTTAGTACAGCAAATATCATTATATTGTATAACATTCATAAATTATTATTAATTTAATAACGATTAAAAAGTGTACTTGTTATTAATGCACTATTAATACATTGTTATTATTAAAGGGTGCCAAAACTATATTCTACAGCAAGTTATCAAAAATACAGTGGAAAATATATCAAAACTGAATTTGTTTCTTACTAACAATAACAAATATTTTAACCATTTATTAATAATCAAAAGTAAATAGTATAAATCAATAACAATTTTTCTACAAGCTATGAAAAAGTATTGAAGTAAAAAACTTAAATATGAAAATGAAATCAAATATTTAGACTGTTCTGTTCAGTTATTGAAAATCATCTTACTGAAATAAAATTTAATTCTCAATAAGATATAATTTAAGCTAACTTAAACCTCTTGAAAATAATTCTGAATATTTACATGAAAAAAAAAAAAATGATATGTAGTTGTCATATATAAAAAATAAAAATGAAATAAAATTGGTCGATTAAAAAACCAAATATKAATTAAAATAAATAAATTTATATTAGAATAAGTTTAATATGTTTAATTAATGCCAAACATTAATCTAACCATATTTCTATACGTAAACCAACATTCATCTTATAATTAGATAAAATAATAAACATTGTTAGTTAAGTAGTATAAACAAATATATTATAAATAGAATTTTAACTAATTAACAAAAATTGATTATTTTGGTACTTTACTGTGGCACCCTTTAATAATTAACATGCGTAGCAACACACTCACGGTATTAGTAAAGCAAAATGAATACAAATAGCAACATCAAAGTTATTAATCATTCTATAGTGTTTAAGCAAAACAGGGTCATTGAATTAGGGTAATGAAAGATTTTTTTTTTTTTAATTTGRATATAATTTGAGTTGAGGAATAATGAATTATAAGTACTATTAAAACAATTCATAACTCAGTGATTAGAGTTAACTGTTAAATTATACAAATTAAAATAAAAAGTGTAAATTAAAAATCCCAAATATTTATATATCAGTAGTATCTTGTATGTTTTTTTTTTTTAAGAAAAACATAATTTAGAGAATAATATGTTAAAAACTAATTTGAACTTGTACAATAGATCATTTAGGTACGGTGTTGTTTTTAATATA